CTTGAGGAAAGAAAAAAAATAATTTTTTTTAATTATTAAATTATTATTTAATACACAATGAAGAAGAAAAGGAAAAAAAAAATAAGAAAGAAAGGAAAAAAAAGATAACTCAATCAATTTTAATATTTTTAAATTTTATTAAATATATATTTGATAATATTTTTTATCATCTTAAACATGTATAAAATAATATCCATCATGTATATATTTTTTAGTTATTAAATTTTTTATCATTTATAAAAATAATGAAATAGAAAAAAAAAATTTATTTAAATGAAAATGTATTTAATTTCTTTTTATTTAAAATGTATTATTTTTTTTATTTATTTAATTATTTTTATACATCATATTCATTTTATTATTTAATCTTTTTTTTTTATATTTCGTTTTATTATTTCATTATATAAAATAATATTATGCACATATATAATAAAAAAAAATATAATAAAAAAAATTTAATTAATTATTATTATACAATTTTAGTGTTTTTTTTTTTTAAAAAAAAAAAACTATTATTATTTGTTGTTCCTCGTATTCAAAGAATTGCTAATAATGTTCTTTCACCACTCAATACCGAGTTTTATAAACATTTAAATCGTAGCTCACCATTCTTTAACCTTTGTGTTAATTGGAACATAAATGGCTGGAACAGTGAAAAACGAGATGGCCTCTTATATTTCAATCATATTTTCAAACCGATATGTATCTGCCTCCAAGAAGTTGGTAACAGTAAATATCTTCAAGATCACAACGTAAAATTCCCCTTTCTTAACAATTATAAATCTTTACTCAGAAGATCTGATCCATTAATCCCTCACATGGGAGGCCTCTGTATATGTGTTCATTCATCTTGCTCCTTTTACTCGGATCCCTTTGAATACCAGTATATTATTTCTGTCAATATTGCATCCTTTTGGAGTTCTACTTGTTCAATTGGTAATGTTTATGTACCAGTGGCTGCCCAAAAACTTCATAGGGATAAAGCTATTTTAGAAATTAAAAAATGGTTAAATTCGCGTAAAAAAGATAAACCAGCCATCCTTGTTGGAGACTTTAATATGAAGAAAAATCAACTTTCTTCTATTATTTCCAATCTCTCTCAACATTGGACTATTATGGACATGGTTGGTCCTCAATATACAAGAGTTTCTGGACTTCATCGATCATGCATTGACTTTGCTATTATCAATAATACTTTGTTTGAACATATTAATAAAATTTCAGCTTGCAATTCTTTCCTTAACATCTCTGATCATCTTCCTATTCTAATTTCCAACAAGAAGACTTCAGATGATTTCACTTCCCCTCCCCCGTCTAAAACTTTCAAATGGTCAAGAGAAGTATGTAAATCTAATGATAAAAAAATCGCTCTTCACAACTCCTTTTCTATTTTAGCCGAGGAATTTAATTCTAATAATCTTTCCACTGACGAGATGCTATCAAAATTTGTGCAAACTTCTAATAAAGTAGGAGATAGTATCAAGGCTCGTATTCCATCTAACCTTCAGGGTTCCTCATTTCACTGCCCTCACTATATCAAGAAGCTCTCTCACGAAAAGCATATCATGTATACTAAAATCAAAAATTTTTCCATCAACCACGATGCTTCAAATATCTCCGAATTTCTTAAACTATGTGACTCCTATAATAAAATGTGTGCAAATATTAAATCAATCAAAAAGAACATTAGAAAGAATCTCTTTCTGAACTCTGTTAAATCTGTTTGTGATGATTTTGTAAACAAAAACATTAGGAAAGGTTGGCAAGGCTTACATAAAATAGTCAAACCATCTTTTTCTACCTCTCCCCCCCTTGATGTCATCAAAGATAGCAATGGTAGCCTTCTTTTTTCAAAGGAGGATAAGCTTCGTCGCTTTGCTGAACACTATGAACTCTTAGCTTCTGATGTTACTGGTCATAGTCTTAACAAAGAATTTTGGGAAAATAAATTTGGACCTCCTCCTCCAAACTCTTCTGAATGGAATATCAATGGTCCTATTACTATTCCTGAAATTTACGAAACTGTTTCTTCCTTGAAAAATAATAAAGCTCCAGGTCCTGATGGTATTCCTCCTGAATTTTTCAAAGCTTTCTTTTGTGAATATTCGTCCAATAATAATCAACCTAACAATCAGACAAACCCCTCCAACCCCGTTATTCCGGATTCTATTAGATGCCTTGAATTATTATTTAATAGAATTTGGGATGGTGATTTCCCGTCTGAATGGAATTCTGCATCGATCATTTCTATTCCTAAAAAAGGAGACCTTTCTGATTGTAACAACTATAGAGGAATTTCTCTGATCAACGTCAGTATAAAGATCATTACAAAGATTATCACTTACAGAATTACTAATTATGCACTTAAACATAATTTTATCCGTCCAGAACAGTTTGGTTTCCGTTATAAAGAAGAATGCATCAGTCTTTACATATCAATCCGTGAAATATGTCAAAGAAGAGCTTTTCTTAATCAATTTACTTACCTTGCTTTTCTTGATTTGAAAAAAGCCTACGATTCTGTCCCTATTTACAATATTATAACAAAATTAAACAATCTTGGTATACGTGGTAAATGCCTCAATTTTATTACTAACCTTTACCTTACCTCGAAAGCTCGTGTCTCACTGAATAATCAACTTTCAAATGAATTCCCTATAAACCGTGGTGTTCGCCAAGGCTGCCCTTTATCCCCAATTTTATTCAATTTATTCATTAATGATATTTTGAATAATTGTTCCAACTATGGAGTTTCATGTGGTAGTTCAATCTGTTGTGGTAGTCTCTTTGCTGATGACATTGTTCTCATTGCTCCTACCAAGAGTAAACTCAGAGCACTTTTATCTCGTGTACACGATTGGGCCAAAACCAACGAAATGACCTTTGGTATCAACAAATGTGCTACAATGGTTATTAAACCACTTAAACTCTCTCTTCCTCATAATTATTCTGACCCGACCTTCTTTCTAGGTATCAATAAAATTCCTAAAACATCTTCCTATAAATATCTTGGTATCCCTTTTGACAATTCTCTTTCCCTTAAACCTATCATTTCTAATCTTAATTCAAAACTTAACCTGACTATAAATTCATTCTCTCGTTTTCTCCTTAACCGCAACATTCCATTGGTTCTTAAACGAAGAATTCTTTCTTCCCATATTATCGGTATCTTAAATTACTATTCCCCCCTTTTAGGTTCAAATAAGACTAAAACCAAAAAAGCCCAATCTATATTTAATAGAGGTCTATTTTGGAGTCTTGGACATAAATCTACCAACCCTAACACATGTACCTATTCCATTTCTCGCGAATTTTGGTTCATTCCCTTCTCAGCTATTTGTGCTATTGCTCAAATTCGTTGTTTCGATAAATGGGGAAAATCTTCTTGTATTATTAAAGAACTAATCACAAATATTCCTACTATGCCTTATTATTATTCATGGACTAAAGAATCTCGTACCCTAAAAAAGAAATTATCAGGTCTTACTAAAGAGGAAATTATTGATAAGTATATAACTAGAGATGTGCTAACAAAAAATCCAGCTAAAAGAGCTTCTATATACTTGGAATGTAAATATGGACCTTCTAAAGATTTACAGGATCTTGCTTTATCATACCCCCAATACCAACTAGGGTTCTTCTAGATTATGAGAATACGCAGCGGTTTTCAGTTTAACTATAAGTTTCTACTTAAAGGTAAGTCTTCACTTGAAAACTTTCCTACTTGCTGCCCTTGCTGTGGTGAAAAAACGCAAAGTTTCTCTCATTGGATATTCAATTGTAAGGCCTTTGAACAGGATAGAAATACTTTTATTAAACACAATGTTGACTTAAACTCGAAGTTCACCCAAATTAATCGAACTAACTCACTGGGATTTTCTGAGGACTTAGACGAAGATTTTGAAAATAATATATATTACTTGATGCTTAACGCTTTCCTTGATGGGTGTTATGCATTTGATAAACTAGATATTAAGAGGGAACGGAGATGGTGGCGTGGACAACTTTTCAAAGGTTCACCCGAGTCTCCTGTTCCGTATATTGTGGGTCTGTCGCATTTTCTTACTGTTGTCATGCCAATTGTGAATATTTCCTTTCGGATTCTTCTTAATTGGTATAATAACAATAAGAACACTCCGGGCGGCTTCAAGGGCGTCGACGTCGAAAAGATAAGGCATGGAATCTATTCCGACACGGATTCGAATGGTATCTCATTCGTTGAATGGGAGAGGTTAGAAGTTTAACTTCTTTCCTTTTTTTTTATTTAATATTTTAATTTGACTAATATCTGTAATAAATTTTATTTATTTTTTGTATCTTTTATTACTTGTATTTAATTTACATTTCATGTAATATTTATGTCACATGTATGTTTATTTTAAATTAATAATATAAATAAAGATTAATCCTAGTCTAAAAAAAAAAAAAAAAAAAAAAAAAATTATTTGTTGTTGTTGTTGTTGTTATTGTTATTGTTATTATTATCAAAAATGAAGTCTTGAATACAAATCAATTAACCATATCTTATGAATAATTTTTCTGATTCATTCAGTATACTTAAAGGAGTTCGATAAAGGATGTTCCTTTTCTCCTATCTCAATAAAGATGATGTACGAATTGTGTACTATAAAAAAAAAAAAAAAAAAACTTATCTCCTATACTTTTTTATAATCTTATTATCAACGACATCTTTAACCATTGATAATGGCGTGAAAAATTGATACTGAATATTGTTTTGGTGGACTATTTGCAGATGATATTGATGATATTGTTCTTTGTGCCTCTAGTAGATCTTGTATATGAATATATGAATAAGCTTCTTCGCTCAGTTATTAAATGGGCTAAGGACAATGAAATAACTTTTGGAATTAATAAATGTACCAGATTAATTGTTAGAAATGAAAAAGTCGGAATTTATTCTTAGAGAAGACTCTACCTTTTATTTATTAGGAATTGCAATTCCTAAAACAGAGTGTTATACTTACCTTAAGTGTCAAGATCCTTCGATAGCTCAGTTGGTAGAGCGGTTGACTGTAGAGTTATATAGTAACCATAAACCTTAAGTGTCAAACTGAGTCTGGTACATATGTAAAATTTCCATATTTGTTGCAATTTGAGGCTCTATTGAATGATATCATGCCTGTTGTCTGTAAAAGACAACATATATGGTTCAATAAATTCAAAACCAACCTCTTCAAGAAACATCAATGCTGATAACACAGTAGGAACAGCCTAGTAGGGCAAATGTCGATCCTATTTCAGACCCTAGTGGAATAGGATAGATCAATTTTACTTTTAATTCTATAGGTAAAATTAAGGGGCTAGTATGGATTTATTGTTTTTATATATTACTATACTACTTTATACCTTTCAGTATTATTCATTATTATTTATAATGTTTATCTGTTTTTTTTTTTTTTTTTTTTTTTTTCTTATTAGTATCTTTTTTTTTTTTTTTTAATTTTGTATTTTTTTTATGATTCATGTATATTAATATTTAAACTCAATAATGATGATGTACAAATTATGTGATTTAAAAAAAAAAAAAAAAAACTTGCTCTTGTACCATATTTTGTAAACTTTGGTTTACTTTCTTTTCAGCGATTTGTGCAATTGCTCAAATTTATTGTTTTGATAAGTGGGGATAATCTTCTTGTATTGTTAAAGAACTAATTACAAACATTCTTACTATTCCTTATTATTATTCATGGACAAAAAAATCTCGTACTGTAAAAAAGAAATGAAAAAGTCTTTCAAAAAAGGATATTAAAGGTAAGTATTTAATGAGAGACACACTAACGAAAAATCCAGCTAAAAGAGCTACTATATATACATTGAATGTAAAATATGAACCATTCAAAGATATACAGGATCTTGCTCTAACTTACTCCCAATATCAAATTGGATTCTTCTGAATTATGCGAATACATAACAGTTTTTTAATTTAATTATAAGTTTTTACTTAAAGGTAAATTAATCAACATTTGAAAACTTTCCTACCTGCTGCCCCTGTTGTGGTTAAAAAATGCAAAGTTTTTCTCAATAACATTCTAACGAAAACTAAGATCATTAACAACACCCTTAGTGGTTATAAGGTAAGTAGTACGTTGTTATTTATATCAGTAATACATTATAGAAGTATATTCTCTTTCTTTAGTCTAAAAAAAAAAAAAACTTTCTAAACTCTTAGAAAGGCTTCAAAATGGACTAATATTAATCATAATGACCTTTGAAATCAATAAAAAAATTGTTATGATAAGATAATCCAACTTTCAAATGGTCTTTATACATTTGAAAGTCATTGTTAATTTTAAAAATTAACAATGACTTTCAATCACCCAAACTAAATGCTTTATACATACATAACTATGTATTCCTTTTAATAATAAAAAGTTATGTTATATCATTACTAATCATTTATAAAGTAGAGTTAGGAAATAACTCTTTGCTATTAAAAGTTTCCCTAATAATAACTAGTATATCCTTTTTATATTATAAAAAAAATTTATTATTCAATTCTGTTTCTAATCCTAACTCTAATCGTCATAATAATTATTGACCATACTGAAACAGCTAGAACATCCAAATAGTTATAGATAGCCATTATATTCATAATTTAGATAGAATTTTTATATTTATGTTTACAATGTATATGAAATTCAAAAAATTATTGTTTATTTCCTTCTTAGTGTAAGATTAACGAATAATCATTAAAAATTTTGTTAATAAGTAGTACGCCAAAAATATTTAAGTGTGTCAAACTGACTTTGATTATTATCACATCCTATTATATAATCAAACTAGCTTCTTACCCTCAACTTATCATTATCGAACAGAAATATATCTTCTTCAATAAGTATAAGTTTAAACATACCAATAGTGTCAAAACTGATAATTCCAGTAAATTCAAACCAGCAAGATTAATCCAACCAATACAGATTACAACTTTTATATGGAAGCTCAGTTATATATTAAAATATATTCTCTATATTAATTATTTATTGACTTTTGGAATTTACAGACTACTCTATCATTTATCATTATTATAAAAATAAAATTTATTAAATTATCTGTTAAGATTTAAGTTTGAATTCCTTCCTCGATGTTTATAAATTTATTCTTTTGGACTATAATAATTTTTTTTTTTTACTTTTCTTTCTATAATCTCCTTGTTTTACATTTTTTTATTATATCACGTGTAACTTAAATACAGAAATTTTTTAGGTATTCCACTGTTAAGTAAAATCATATCTATTGTTAATAATAATTGATAATTATTTCATAGGTTCCTTAATCTAACCAAGAGCATCTATTCTGATAATACAAATAGGATAAGGCAGTAGGTTAAATGTTTTTTTAATAATGAAAATATCTTTCTTTCATAATGATTCAATATCGAAATATTATATGCTACATCAAATTAAGTAATCTATTTAACTTTATCTTTTAAATTATTTTTGTTGTTTATTAAATTTTTTTTTATTATTATTTAATTAAGAAACCAAATGCATGAATATAGATAAAGTTATGCATAAAAAATTAGAATACAAAATAATATATATATATAAAAAAAAAAAAAAAGGAGGGAAATACAAGTTAATTATTGAATGGAACTAAAATAAAATTATTGTAAAAAAAAAAATTATTTTGTGGTAAAACTATTCTTACAATATATCTTTATTCTAAATAATAGAATTTTATTTGTTTTATATTTTCATTAATAATAATTTTTTAAACTAATAAATGCATGTACTACAATATACTTTCTTTTGTATTAATAATTAAAAACACCTATAAATACATTTATTTTTTTTTTCCTTTTACACTAAAAAATATTTAGTAGGTAAAAAAAAATATAGGTTCAGTTTAGATATGTGGCTATACATAACCATGAAAAAGAAAAAAACTATGATAAAGTATCCATTCCTATATTTAAAAATTGAATTAATAAATAATTAAACAATTAATATATATTTTTTAATTATTAATCTCAGTTTTAATTATTTAATTAATTTATAAAAATTTATCATTAAAATATTAACTGTTCATAATTTTATTAATAAACATTATTATTGTCTTTTATTTAATAATATATATTTTAAACATTTATATCATTAAATATATATTTACAATTTATAATTAGTCAATGTAAGTTTTGAAGTAAAAAATATCCAAATTTTTATTTAATAGTTTAGTAATGTTTATTATGATCATTAAAATATGATTTAATATTATGAATAATATTGTATTTATATTTAAGTGATATTAGCCTCTAAAGCCATTCTTATTCAATTTTTTGGAAAAGATAAATTTCTTACTTTTAGATCAAAAATATATGTAAATTAAATTAAAAAAAAAATCTTATCGAATGCGGCTGTTAAGAAAAAAAAAAAAAAACTTTTTTTTTTATAACTTTTCTTTATATATATTAAAATTTATACTTAGAGAATTACTATAAAAGTTAATAATTTATGGTTTATTCTTTTTTTTTTTTTTCTTTTTAACTATTTTAATATGGCCTATTTAGTAAAAATTAAAAATATTAATAATAAGATAGAAATAAAATGAAAAAGATTTAAAAAAACTATTATTATTATTATTATTATTATTATTATTATTATTATTATTATTATTATTATTATTATTAGTTAATAATATATGCATATAAAAACTATTCATTTTGTTATATTAGATATTCTATGGAAGGGAAATATTTTTAATCTTTCTTTTTCTTTTTATATAAATGATATTATATTTAATTTCAGTTGGTAACTTTTAAATTAAAAATATTTAATCTAAATATTCTTATTAAAAAAATATTTTTCAGTAATTTGATGTTGAAAAAATAGTATATTAAATAATATATTTAATATATAATCTTTATATCTTAATAATTTTATTAGAATAATAAAATTATTAAATAATAATAATGTGGGGTGCGGCTCTAAATTATTGGGCGGTTTCCTTGGTGACTACTATTCATATGTGGGGCTTGTAGACTGGACCCGTTATTAAGTTAGCGTTAGGGTTTAAGTACAAATGTAAAATATATGAATATACCAAGGGCGTCGACGCCGAAAAGGTAAGGCAGGGAATTTAATTCCGATACATTCATGTGAAAAATCACATGATAAGTCTATAAAAAAAAAAATTAATAATTTTATTATTTAATATTTAATATAATAAATATCTTAATTATTTTATTATTTAATATTTAATATAATAAATATCTTAATTATTTTATTATTTAATATTTAATATAATAAATATCTTAATATTTCTTGTTTTAAAATAAAATATATGTATATATATAATATATAATTTTATTGTTTTAATTAATGATTAATTATAGTGTACTGGTTTAATAAAAGGGATTTTAGAACTGTGTATTTTATTAAAACCTTTTTTCTTTATAATTATTTTTAAATATACTTTAATTAAATTTTATTAATTTTTTTTTTTTTTATTATTTTATTTGATAAATTTTTTTCAATCAATGAATAAAAATTATTGAAGAATGTATTTTCATTCTTCATCATTTTTTATAAGTTTTTTTGTTATTAATATATATAAAAAAAAAATTAATAGTAATTGAAAATGCATTTAAAAGTATGTATTTTTTATACATACTTTTAATAATAATGATAATGTATTATAATACATTATCATTATTATTATTATAGATAATTAAATTTCTTATTTTTCATGATTTAAATAAAAGTAGATATACTATTCTAATATTAATTATCAACCATAAATATTAAAATTATATTTATTTTCTATTTAATACTTTTTTATTATAATTACTTTTTTATTATAATTATGATTAAACTTTTAATTAATTTTTTTTTTTTTAATTTTTTTTAAACTATTTAGTAATAATCATTTTCAAAATTAACAAATGAAATTCATTATTCATTTATTTTAATCTTTTTTTTCTTTATTATATTATACTTTTATTAAAAATAAAAAATAAAAAAAATAAAAAAAAAAAAAAAGATTAATATAGTATATTTTTATTAAAAAATAAAAAAAAATAATTATGTGAATATTAATAAATTTATTATATATATACAAAACCGCAAAAAAAAAGTACTTTATTATATCTAAATAAAAATAAAAAAATAAATTA